TAGATATAATGGATTTTAATGGTGTTACTAATGAATTTTGAATTCAGGCATTCATTCATTAATTATTTTACATTCATCTATCATACTATTATTTATGAATTTTAATTTTTAAAAATAAAATACCAGATTTGAAAAATAAAGACTAGTAAATGAAAAAAAATGTTGTATAAATTATTATATGTTTTTAAAAAGGAAATGTAGTATTTTTTATACATTAACATCCCATCACAAAATATATTATATGATAATTTTATTGACACTGTAGTTAATAACTCTAAAAATCACATTAAAATCAATATTTAATTAATTGATAGTGTGAACTATTTATGTAAAATTGTTAAACTCTTAAAGATATATTATAAATGATTAATATTGAATACTTAGCCAATGAAATATTTAATGAGTAACTCGCGAACGTATCACTCGCGTCTACTATAAAATATATTTTTAATACATATTCATGAATACATGGTAAGTCAATTAAATATATTTTATTAATCATTTTGTTTTTCAATTTTTTTTGTAATTTATTAACATATGTCTAAGAAAAAAATACTAAATGGGAAAAAAGCACATATATAAGAATACATGTACACATTGGAAAAAAAACATTTTATTACCTACAAATATTTAGTGAATTTACAAAATTATGTGGATTTTACCTTTATTCAATAACATACCATCAATATTTTTTTTTTTTTTTTTTTTTTTACAGATCGAACATCAATGTCTTTAAAATACACATTAAGGAAAAAATTCAGTTCATTGTTTGACTTTATTAATTACTATATTCAAACCATAATAATTAAGAAATTAAATAAAATATAAAAACTTAATGTACTTAAAACTTTAAAAAAAAGTATTACTTTTAAGTGCATAAAATAGAATTAAAAAAAATATGTACTAATTATTTTTTTACATTATTATCCTATTACAAATCACCCTGTTAAGTTTATTAATTTTTACAATATAATTACATTGAAAATTACAGCAACACTGATTTTTAATTGAATGATAAAGTCATTTTTTTTATATTCATCAAACTCTTTAAAATATATAGGTAATGTATTCTAATATATGTTGAAAATTAATTCAATAATGTAAGTTACTTTTTTATTTTACAGCAATGAGTAACCTCAATAAATATCATTTTTTTAATGCTTATCCATGAGTTAAATATATTTTATTAATAATTTTTATATATCATTATAAAGATTATATATTTTAATATATTCAGTGTTTTATCAATAAAAATATTTATTTGTATATGTCAAAAAAGTATATTTATTTATAACTTATTAGTATATGTGTGACACTCATCTACCCTCAAGAGAGATATCAATTAAATATATATGTAACTTGTAAATTTTGAAATCATCCTCATTTAAAGTCATAAAGAAAATAATTAGGTAATCTGAAAATTAAATAACAATTACATATTTAATGTACTTGAACTAAAACAAAAACAGTTAACATATTTTCCTAACTATTCTAAATATCCAGTGTCACATTAACATCAGAGTCTCCACATACACACCTAGATCTCTTCCTGCTCCTCCCAAAATTGAGGAATATTGTCTGCAAAACATACAAAAGACATGTTAACAACAAACAGGGAGAGAGAACAATCTCACTTTATAGGGAATGGACCGCAACTCTCGACATCTCATCCCTTCATAATAAACAAATACGATAACAATAATTAATACTTGAAATATAATAACAACAATTCATACTTCAACTATAATATCAAACATTTCATATTTCAACTTCACTTATAAATACCAACCATTCCATTCACAAACACATATATAGAAATGCAATGCGATGTACACTTACATCTAAATGCATGGGGTACCTAATCATCATCATCAAGAACATACAGTTGGTACCAAAGTCTCGAGCTAACCCTAGGCTACTAACACATAAGTGTTCCCACCAAGACACCAACAGATTCCCACTAGAATCACAAAATCATGCAAATATCATGTATGTCACCACCAAGCAAATGCTTTTACATCAATACATAATGAACATCTTATGATTCATCATTTCACCAACATCTATATTCATCCACGCCAAATGTCATCCATTAACATAAAAATCATCATTCATCATGGATATATATATATATATATATATATATATATATATATATATTTACATTCCTCATCATATAATCAATCATAAACATTATAATAACATCATTTTAAACACCAAGGAGGGCCTCCTGATAATCCACAATAGGCTTGGAAAGTCACACCCGACTTTAAGTCACAATAGAGAGCACCACAATCTTCTTGCGCCCAACGTCACACCCATAAACATAAAAAAAATCACACACAATATATATATATATATATATATATATATATATATATATATATGTTTACATTCCTCGTTATATAATCAATCATAAACATCATAATGACATCATTTTAAAACATCAAAGAGGGTCTCCTGACAATTCGCATTGGGCTTGGAAACCCACACTCGACTTTAAGCCAAGACAAAGAGCACCCAGACTCTCTTGCGGCCGACTTCCTAAAGTTGCGCTTGGCTTTAAGTTGAGGTAGGGAGCACCATAATCCTCTTGTGCTTGGTGTGGACATTTTCCCACCTAGTGCCAACTAGTATGGACAATGCCTTCATGCACGCCCAACATCGAGCACCTAAGCTCGGTGCCGCGTGCGATCCAACACCCAAACACATCCACATTGGAACAAAATCTTGAAACAAACATAACCCAATCAATCATACAAGTTATAATTACTCAGAACATGTTTTACATCCATAAAATTCACAAATTTCAGTGTCTACAACTTTTATCCCTAAACTCTTAAAATTACATTAAACTCTTAAAATATATAATTAATATATTATAATATCTTTTTTTTTAATTTGGTCAATGAAATGTTTAATGAGTAGCTCACTAACTGTGTCTACTAATAAATATGATACGTTCAATTGTTCATAAAAATATTTAAGTTATACCATTTTTAAATAATATTTAATTATTTTATATTTCAATTATTCAATGTACCAAATATTTATACCATTTTTTAAACCATCAAATTCTGTAAAAAAAAATTATCAATAGAAATATTTATTTGTAACTTATATTAACCTATGTTTAAAAATATAATTTATAATTAATAAATTATTAATATGGGTAGTATTAAATTTAATTTTCTTAACGACACCAAAAAAAAGCTTAATTTTCTTAAAGAAATATTTTTGAGTATTGTGAATAAAAAAATATATAATTAAAAAAAAAAAGCGAAAAGTCCACTAAAAATATACAGTTAATTAAATAAAATGTTATTTGTTGAAAAATCTAAAATAACACTTTTTAATTAACAAGTTACAATGAAAAAGTATATTTTTCATTAACACTTTTTAAATAACACTTTCGTTCAAAATATTTTTTTTAATTTATATGTAGAAAGAATCTTCTCACCATATAAATAAAAATTAACAAGTCATAATGAAAAAGTATATAAAATATGAAAACCCAATTTATTTAAAACTAAACAATTATTTATAACTCTTTTTAGTGTTTTTACCAAATAAAAGAAAAAAGAACATGTATTATTATTTTTATATCTTTTATTATATATGTAAATCAAATTAATCAACTAAAACAAGAGTGCATTGTTTTTTGGAATTATTATTTAACGAAACATATTTAGTTTTTTTTTAACAAGAGTATTTTAAGACTTTTTACAAATCTCTTTTCTATTTTAATCTATTATTTTTATTTTTAAATTAAATTATTAGTTGTTAAAATAATTCATATTAAAATATAACTTATTTATTATAAATTAAAAATATAAATTATATAATAAAATTATTTATTTTATAAATTTAAATTATTATATAATTTAATATTCTAAACTGTTTATATATTACAAGTTTCAATCATATAAAACAAAATTTTACCTTCTACATTGCAGTAGCAATCATACCAGTTATGGTTCAATTATTAAACATATTGACTTTAATAATTCTAATAATTATTTACTAATAAAATATTAGAAAGTTGTTATAATTATTTAAAAATAATTTAAGATTTTTTTTATATATAGAAATATAATGTTCCATTAAAAAATAGAGATAAAAAAACAATTATATCTCCTATATTTCCTTTATAATAATTATAGATTACTTTAAAAGTTACATAAAAAATAATTAATATTTTTAATTAAGAAATAAAAAAGGAAAAATAAGTAAAATATAAAACCTTGATATATAAGTTATATTTAAATACCAAAATACTACCGCAAGTAATAATAAAAAAGTTAATGATACCTTTTTTATATATGTAGTTTTATTTAATTTACTTTTTATTTCTATAATTTAAAATATTTTAAATTTTTTATATTTATATTTTTAATTCTTATAATTTAAGATAGAGTTTTGTTCTTATTTTTTTTATAATATTATATTTTTTATATTGACGTGATAAATATATTAATTTAATATTATATATTTAATATTAAATTTATTTTATTAGAATTAATATTAAATTTATTTTATTAAGAATTATTTTAAATTATTATTATTAAGAATTTTTTTAGTGACCTTGACATCAGACAATAAAAATTAATAAGATTAAAAAATAATAAATATAAAGGCTAAAAAAATTATTTTAAATTATAAAATAAAATAAAAATTAAAGTAAAATTATAAAAATTTAAAAAATGTTTTAAACATAGCAAAAATATTATGCTTATTATTACTTTGACTAATGAACTTAATATACGCATTGACTATTAACTGTACTTAACAGTTACTACTGGATAGTGGATACTTTCATAACTCATTGTATTAAAAAGCCTAAAACATTTATGAAGAACATTTACTCCCAATTAATGCCATAAATGAAGCAAATTAAAATATTTTCTTACATCTTTTCCATTAAATAAAATCACAAAACCTTCTTTTCCATCCCCAACATAAAATAAAAGAGAGAGAGAGAAAAAAAAAGAAAAAGAAGAGAATGGAAGAAGAAAAACGCGTATTCTGAAAAAGAAACCAGCCACCTCAATCTTTTCTCTCTTCACCGCTTCTCTCTCTCTGATAATTTTTTCCCCAATTTCACAAGCAGCGAAAATTAGGGTTAGGGTTTTCCGAAAACCCTTTCGTTTCGCTCGCTGCAACTGAAAGGGTTCTCACAAGCTCTCTGCGATGTTTTCTTCTTCCTCAGTCATCAAATGGAGGTTCCACCACAAGCCCATGACGCTCCTGCGGCTATGCACACTCTCTTTGCTTCTCCTCTTCCTTTCGCTCGACGGCGTCGTTTCCTCGGATTCCGACAAATCAGTGCTCCTCCAGCTCAAGCACTCGCTCTCCGACCCTTCGGGCCTGCTTGCCACGTGGCAGCCTTCCACTCCCAACCACTGCGAGTGGTCCGGCGTGCTCTGCGACGACTCCGCCGCGCGCCGCCGCGTCGTGGCGATCAACGTCACCGGAAACGGAGGTAACCGGAAACCCCCTCCCCTGTGCTCCGATTTTGCTGAATTTCCCCTCTACGGGTTCGGAATCAGAAGGAGCTGCGAGGGTTTGGGTGGTGCATTGTTCGGGAAAGTTTCCCCTCTTTTAGGTAAACTCACCGAGCTTAGGGTTTTGTCCCTTCCCTTCAACGGCCTCGAGGGCGAGGTTCCGGAGGAAATTTGGGCCATGGAGAAGCTGGAGGTGCTTGATCTCGAGGGGAATTTGATAAGTGGGGTTCTCCCTGTGAAGTTGAAAAATCTGAGGGTTCTTAATCTAGGGTTTAATAGGGTTGTTGGCGAGATTCCGAGTTCGTGGTCTAGTGTTAAGAGTTTGGAGGTTTTGAATTTGGCTGGGAATGGGATTAACGGGTCTGTTCCGAGTTTTGTGGGGAGGTTGCGAGCGGTGTATTTATCTTTTAACTTGCTGGGTGGGGCTATTCCTTCGGAGATCGGAGAACATTGTGGTGGGAGGTTGGAGCATCTTGATTTGTCTGGCAATTTGCTTGTTGGGGGGATTCCGGGGAGTTTGGGGAATTGTAGTGAGTTGAGGACGGTTTTGTTGTATTCCAATGTGTTGGAGGATGTTATTCCGGGTGAGCTTGGGAGGCTTAGGAATCTTGAGGTGTTGGATGTGTCGAGGAACACGCTTGGCGGGCCGGTGCCGAGGGAGCTTGGCAATTGTTCTGAGTTGTCTGTGCTGGTTTTGTCTAATCTTTTCAGTCCGATTCCGGATGTGAATGGTACCGTGAGGGACTTGGGGGCGGAGCAGATGGTTTCGATGAATAGTGATGAGTTTAATTACTTCGAAGGTACGGTTCCGGTGGAGATTATGAGCCTTCCTAAGCTGAGAGTCCTGTGGGCGCCCAGGGCGAATATGGAAGGCAGTTTAATGAGCAGTTGGGGGACGTGTGGTAACTTGGAGATGCTCAATTTGGCTCAGAATGATTTCAATGGGGATTTTCCTAATCAGATTAGTAGCTGCAAGAGGCTCCATTTTCTTGATTTGAGCTCGAATAACCTTACTGGTGAGCTGGCTAAAGAACTTCCTGTGCCTTGTATGACTGTGTTTGATGTTAGTGGGAATGTATTGTCTGGCAAGATTCCTGAATTCTCTATTGGTGCTTGTCCGTCCCTTCCTTCCTGGAGCGGAAATCTGTTTGAAAATGACGATCGAGCCCTTCCATACAAATCCTTTTTTATGTCTAAGGTTCTTGGAGGGCCCCTTTTGTCAGCCGTAGGAGAAGTTGGCCGTTTCGTTTTTCACAACTTTGGCCAGAACAACTTTGCTGGCATGGAGTCATTGCCGATAGCACGTGACAGGCTGGGGAAGGGGTTGGTTTACGTAATCCTCGTTGGAGAAAACAAGTTGCCAGGACCGTTTCCTACTAATTTATTTGAGAAATGTGATGGGTTAAAGGCGCTGCTTTTGAATGTCAGTTATACTATGTTATCTGGTCAGATTCCTTCCAAGTTTGGTAGATTGTGCGGGTCATTGAAATTATTGGATGCATCTGGTAATCAGATTACAGGGCCAATCCCCGCTGGTTTGGGGGATATGATCTCTCTTGTTTCTCTGAACCTAAGTCGGAACCATTTACAAGGTCAGATTCCCATCAGCCTTGGCCAGTTGAAGGATCTGAAGTTTCTCTCTTTGGCTGACAATAACTTAAGTGGCTCCATCCCTACCAGCCTTGGGCAATTGTACTCTTTACAAGTCCTGGACCTTTCTTCAAATTCTCTTACTGGTGAAATCCCAAAAGGTATTGAGAACTTAAGAGATCTGACTGATATTTTGCTCAATAATAACAAACTTTCTGGACAGATTCCTGCT